AATGGGGTTGCACATGAAGGATTTTCTGATTGTATTGGCTACTTTGCCTGCCTTCTGTTTACATTTGGGAGCATGGCTTTATCCACTGAAGATTAACAAATGATTCTGGCAATCAAGGCAACTTAGAGGTGACTTTCCTTTCCTTCTTCCCTTCACATTCAGCCATAACTGTCATAGTGGTTCTCAAGTATGGGTCCTACCTACATCTGCTTTCTGCCTCCTTCCTACAGCCCCCACCTCGAAAGTATAGTTCTCTTCTGGAATAGCCTTAGAACCACCTCTGTGTTCCTTTATTTCTCTCTTTCTGATGTGCTGTGTCAAAGATACACAAAGCCCGGGGGCACCTGGCTGGCTCAGTCAGTAGAACGTGTGACTCTTGATCTCAGGGTCTTGAGTTCAAGCTCCATGTTGGGTGTAGAGCCTACTTTAAGAAAAAGATAAAGCCAGACACTAGGTGAAGTGGTAAGGGCAGATTTTAATCAGTAATACATTATTGCACTAGGGAAAGAGTCCAGTGTGAACTGAACTCAACCGAGGTGGCCTGTGAAGGAATAGGGAGCTCCGTAGAGTCAGGGAAGTGAAGAATGACAAAAAGTGGGACGAAGGGGTTGGTCTGTGTGAAGCTCATCGGGGCTTGCTAATTAGAGCTTACTACCCTCCTGCAGAGGCTGGGAATCTGGGGCCCTATCTTCAGAGTTGGTTGGAACAAGCAGTGTATTCTTTTGGCAGCCTTGAGTTTTCTCAGGCAGGCACTTTAAGGGAGTCCAGCATCATCCTTGGAAGGCGGCCTTGAGTTGTTATAAACTGTATCAGTGGGGCGCCTGGGTGGCTCAGTTGGTTAAGCGACTGCCTTCGGCTCAGGTCATGATCCTGGAGTCCCGGGATCGAGTCCCGCATCGGGCTCCCTGCTTGGCAGGGGGTCCACTTCTCCCTCTGACTCTCCTCCCTCTCATACTCTCTGTCTCTCATTCTCTCCGTCTCAAATAAATAAATAAAATTTAAAATAAATAAATAAATAAACTGTATCAGTGTTTGTTCAAGTCTTTAGAGGCCAAGGTTGAGGCCTTGTTGAGGGGAGGACTCAGAGGGGCCTGGCTGGAGAAGCCGTGTCACCTGGCAAACATTCGAGCTGATAGTCCAGGCATTCTCCTCTCTTTTCAGGCCCCAAGTCACAGAGGGCTGGGTCTCTGACTTCATGATGATGGTGGCCAGCGGCCTTGTCCACAAGCCAAACTTGTCTTCTCTTGTAGGACAAGGGGGTTTTCCTTCTCCTTGGTGCTACCCTTAGAGCTGAAATGACCCTCTGTGCTGATCCCTGGGGGAGACCGTATCCTTTGGCAATGCTTCGGGTGGAAGAGTCCTTCAGGAAGAGCCTCACCTTCTGGGACTGCTCCACGCAAAAGCAAATTCTTTTTTTTTTTTTTAAGATTTTATTTTATTTATTTGAGAGAGAGGGAGAGAGAGCACAAGAGGGGGTAGGGTCAGAGGGAGAAGCAGGCTCCCCGCTGAGCAGGGAGCCCGATGCGGGACTCGATCCCGGGACTCTGGGATCATGACCTGAGCCAAAGGCAGTCGCTTAAACAACTGAGCCACCCAGGCACCCGCAAAAGCAAATTCTTCCAAGACACCTGTCACCGTAGATCAGGCCTGCTCTTGGAGTTTGAATAAATGGAGTTGTGCAGATTTACTCTTTCTTTCCTGGATTTTCCCTGCTCAGATGAGCGTTTGTGAGATTTATGCATATTGTTGTGTGTTGAAATGGACCCCAACATGTGCCCTGGGGGCCACAGGAACCTGGCATCAGGGGCAGGACTGCTGATGGTGATGCATCATCCCCACAGCTGCTCCTCTGGCCCTTCTGCAAAGCCAGTCTCTGCCCCTCTTTACAGATTATGATTCTAAAACTAACACATACTTGTTTAAAAAGCCCAAAACTTTCAACAGTATAGAAAGGTAAAAATTTTAAAGTAGAAGTCCCTTTCTGCTTGCATAATTCATGCAAATCCACTTCCCAGTCATAATCACTGGCTCTGCTGCTAAATGATAGGGTACATTTATTGAGGAGTTCCTATGTGTCAGGCATGTTCCCAAGCATTTTACAGCGATTGTTTTATGAAGATTTGTTATGTGTTCTTCCTAAGCTCTTATAGGGATATACACATATCCTTTTCATCTTAAAGGGTTTATGCTCTCATATTGTTAGTGAACTTGTTCTTTTCACTTACAGTGTATCTTGGACAATTTCCGTGTCACGACATGTATGCCTCCCTCATTCCTCTTCACTTGCATAGTTGGTATTGAATGGATATGAAACCGTATTTTACTAAACAAGTTCTCTGGGGGCACCTGGGTGGTTCAGTGGGTTAAGTGTCTGCCTTCAGCTTGGATTGTGATCTCAGGGTCCTGGGATCGAGCCCCATATGGGGCTCCCTGCTCAGCGGGGAGTCTGCTTCTCCCTCCGTTGCTCCCCCTGCTTGTGCCCCCCCTTCTCACTCTCTCTCTCTGTGTCAAATAAATAAATAAAATCTTTTTTAAAAAACTGAGGCAGCATGTTAAGTCTCATCAAGTGACTTCTTGGTGTTTATTAAAATACCACTTTACGGGATGCCTGGGTGGCTCAGTCGGTTAGGCATCTGTCTTTGGCTCAGGTCATGATCCCGGGGTCCTGGAATTGAGTCCTGCATTGGGCTCCTTGCTCAGCGGGGAGTCTGCTTCTCCCTCTGCCCCCTGCCACTTCCCCTGCTCGTGTGCTCGCTTGCTCTCTCTCTCCGACAAATAAATAAAACCTTTAAAAAATGTATCACTTTACTGGGACGCCTGGGTGGCTCAGATAGTTAAGCATCTGCCTTTAGCTCAGGTCATGATCCCAGGGTCCTGGGATCAAGCCCCACATCCGGCTCCTGGCTCGGCGGGGAGCCTGCTTCTCCCTCTGCCTCTCCCCCTGCTCATGCTCTCTCTATCTCTCTGTATCTCAGATGACTAAATAAAATCTTAAAAAAAAAAAAAAGTATCACTTTACTTTAAAATCTGGCCATGGTTTCTGCACCTGATGTACACACAATAAATGTTGGTTGAATAAATGAATACCTGTCTCTCTCAATCTTTCTACATCGAAGCCCTACTAATTAGAGTCTAGGCCAACTTCCTCCTGAAGACTCCCTCTTTGAGAGGAGTGTTAGACATGACCAATAGGCTGTAACCGAGGACAAGAGTCTTTTCTTATTTCTTCTGCCCCAGAGATAGTTCCTTTCCTCATTTACCACGTGTTCTGCAATTAAACTATCTCCCAACTAGGGAGGGCAAGGACCTTGTCTTATTAATCACTGTGTCTATTTGAAGTCTTGACACATAGCAGGTTCCCTGGAAATGCTTGCTGAACAGCACTGAATGAAACAAGGTATTTCCATGTGTCTGATACAAAGGCATACAAATAGTTTTAAAAATATTTTTTGTTATTTGAGTAGTTTTAGATTTACAGAAAAGTTAAAAAGCTAGTACAGAGTGTTCCCTTTTATCCCTCACTAGTTTTCCCCATTGTTAACATCTTACACTACTTTGGTACATTTGTCACATCTAAGAAACCAGTATTGGTACACTTATTAATTACATGCCCCACTTTGTTCGGATTTCACTAGCTTTCCTCTGATGTCCTTTTTCCGTGGCAGCGTCCCATCCAGGATACCACATTACATTTTGTCGTGTCTCTTGAGGCTCCTTGAGTCTGTGATGTCTTCTCAGATAGTCCTTGTTTTGGATGGCCCTGGCAGTTTTGAGGAGCACTGGTTAGGTATTTTGTAGAATATTCATCATGCTTAGACTGTGGTTATGGGTTTTTGGAAGGAAGCTCACAGAGATGAAGTCTTATCACATCATATCAAAAATACGTGCCATTAACATGCCTCATCATTGATGATGTTAACCTTGATCATTTGGCTGGAGAAATGTTTACCAGGTTTCCCCATTGTAAAGCTATCCTCTCCCTCCTCTTTCCATATTCTACTCTTTGGAACAAGTGTGAACATTAATAAAAGGAAACCTCCTCTAGAATGGAATGGGGGGAGGCCAGCAGGGGGAGGTCTCACTCCCTGCCACTCTTGTCAACTGCAGACCCAACAGGGACAGAAGGACCTTTGCGGTGGTTGCTATCCCAACGGGAGGAAGATAGACTTCCCTGGAAAAGGCCAGCCAGTGAAAGACTGTCACGCTCAGCCAATGAGAAGCTATTACACTCTGAGCTCCCAGTTTATTCCAAAGAACTTTTTGTTTATAAAATCCTTCCTGGTCTCCCCTTTTCTTCTATAAATAAGGCCTCCCCTCCTTTGTTTTGGAGACTTGCATCTGATTTTGCCATAGCTCATTTGTCCGGGATTGCAATTCTCTGCTATTTCCGAATAAACCCATTTTTGCTACTGAAATAGCTGGCACAAGTCACTAAGCAAACCCTATATCCAAAGGGGAGGAGGTAAGCTCCTCTCCTGGAGGAGGTAGTAACTATCCAATTATTTGGAATTCTTCTGTGCTGGGAGATGTCTCTTCTCCCTCCATGCATTTACTAATTCATTTATGTGTATTAAAATGTTTCCGGATATATGAATAACACAGCTCCAGAAACTTATTTCTTTTGCCTTTGGAGGATCTCTCTAACCTCTCAGCTCAAAGGCAGGCTAGCGCTGGGAGTTGCTTTTCCCCAGGGAGCGGCAGGGCAGTGACAACCATGAAGGGGGCCCCAAGTCCCTGGGCGGAGGGCGGAGGGGCACCAGGGCGCTGCGGCCTTGGGCCCCAGAACCCACTCGCCCTCCACCTGCTCTGGCTTCGCGAACACTCCTCGGCCGTGGCGCTTGGAAAACAGTTCTGGGGTGCGGGGTCCCTCCACACATCAGTAATTGCTGCCAACTCCTCCCTTGTGCAACGCCCTCCCGGGCGCAACAGGCGCGGGCGCGGGCGCGGCGGCGCGCGCGGGATGTCGGGAGCGCGGCGTGCTGGCTGCGGCTGCTACGGCGGCGGCGGCGGCCACGGCAGAGGCAGTTGCTGCGCCCGGTACTGAGGTCGCTGCGTGAGGCGCAGGCGCGGTGGACTCAGCCCTCCCCGGGCTTCGGCTCGCTGTGGGCTCGTCATGGCGACAGAGGCGAGGCCCTTCCACCTGGTGGTGTTGGGCGCGTCTGGCTTCACCGGCCAGTTCGTGGCCCAGGAGGTGGCCCGGGAGCAGGTGGTCCCGGAGCAGAGCCCCCGCCTGCCATGGGCCGTGGCGGGCCGCTCCCGGGAGAAGCTGCAGCGAGTGCTGGAGAGGGCTGCCCTGAAGCTGGGTAAGGGGCGGGGGTGCGGCTTCCCGCTCGGTCCAGGGGTTCGGGTCGTCCGCAGCGAGAGTTTGTCCTTGGGGGGGGGCACCCCGAGGGCTGCCTGGGCCCGCCGGACGTCAGGAGCGGTGCTTGGGGATGTGGCTTTGTGCCACTCCCCACACGAAGCACAGCAATAAATGCATGTCTCCTCTGTTGAATTCCCTCATTGGCTTGGCGGGTCCCGCTGGCCAAGCAGCCGAGGACTTCAGTTCTTCCCTGGCCGGCCCCGTCTCCCTCTTGGGCAGGGGTCCCTGGTGGGGCTGGACGGCTCTTGGTCATGGGGTCGGACGGGAAAGGAGGACATTGGTTTCCTCGGGACTGTTTGTCCTCTCCCCTCGCCTTGGGTTTTGGCGGCGGGCGAGGAAGCTTCCCAGGTTTTGGTAACGTTGTGGCCTTCGTTTTTCAATTTCTTTTTTGCTTGTAAGAATTCGCCAGCGGGCTTACTCTTTGCTGCGTTTACTTACTCTTTTAGCATTCGTTCAACATAGTTTTACTGCGTGGTCTTTTCTGTGCCGGGTCCTGTCCTAAGTGCTGGGGATACGGATGTGACGGAGCGAGACCGCACACACACATTTAGGACTCAGGAGCCTTTAACTGTGGCTCCTGCCCACCCGAGTGTCCCTCATACAGACAGGTGCACCTGCATTCTTCTGTTTCATCTTCATCTCACTGCTGAGTCCACACTGAGCCCTTTTGCTGCCACCACCAATGTACAGTCTTGATCAAAGAGCTTTTTGGTGTTTTTTGTTTGTTTTACTTTTTCAGAAGAAATAATTTCACTGTTAAAATATATTCTTCCATTTCTTTTTCCTGCTCAACAAGACTGTACAGGTGCAGCCTACCTACCTAGCATCTGTAATGCCCAGGTTCAGTTATTGTGGGACATACACTTTGATCCATCAAACTTGCATTCCGCTAATTCCAGTGATTTACTTATTATAAGCCTATAATGAGTGTTCTTACCTAGACTGTGCTTTCTACCTTAGAGTCTTTTTTGTTCTCATGTTGATGTTAAGAACCCCTTTTTACCCCCGTATTTTGTCATATATAATTGGTTAGTAATTGATGAGCAACTTTTTATAATGGATTCTTGGCAGAGAGGAAATCACGACTGTCATCTATTCAGTATCTAAATGATTGTAAAATTGTCATTTTACACAGGGTTATCATTTGCACGTTGCTTAAGTTAGATTTTTTTTTTTAAGTTTAATGATTTTTTTTTCTAGCAATCCGTAGTGTTAACTCCATTTTCCTCATAGCTTTTTCTTTTTTATTACCTAATTTTAAAAAGTTTTATCTCTTGTCAGTATATTTAGTAAATCTGCCATCCCTGATTACTATAAAAACACAATCTGGAAGATATAATACTGTATCAGGATTTGCTTCAAACAGTTATTTCTTATTTCAGGAAGACCAACACTCCCATCTGAAGTTGGAATAATAATTTGTGATATCACGAATCCAGCCTCACTAGATGAAATGGCTAAACAGGCAGCAGTTGTCCTCAATTGTGTGGGACCAGTAAGTCATCCACCCCGTTTTGTGTCGGAACAAACAATGTATTCATTTCCAGCAGAATCTGGTATTTGATATTCCAGAGGAACATAAGGACAGGGGACAGAAGAGTTGGTTCAGGGCTTCAACCCTGTGTGGGGGAGTTTTCACTCCTCGTGAGGAGCCAGTGGATGTGACCAAAGTCTCCTGAGAGAGAGACAGGCTCTCTGTGACACCACCTCAGGGACTGGGTGCTGGGTCCTTCATTGGTTACAGCTATAACTGCCAGCTTTTTTTTTCTTACAGAATGCTTCTTAAGTAAAAAATGCTTGAGCATATATCCCTAATATATTTTTTACTTACTGATGAATGATATTCCTGTATTATTTATTCAATACATATTCATTGAATGTTTATTACATGTAAACTGCTCTAGTGTGGGTACCTGGGACATAAGGGCGAACAAAACTGAAAATCTCTCATGGAGCTTACAGTCCAGTGGGTGAGACAGAAAAATAAGGTTATAATTGTAGGTAGTGATAAGCGCTTTGAAGAAAAATCAAGCAGGGTAAGGAGACAGAGAGATTGGCGCATGAGTCTCTGTGAGGTGGATGGTCAGGACCTGACATTTGTGTCGAGCCCTGAGTGAGGTGAGGGGGTGAGGTGCAGGGGTAGTTGAGGAGAAAGTTGCTCCAGGGAAGGGCAGCTACAGACATTCTGAGATGAACATGTGTTTGAGAGAGGGCAGAGGATGGAAGGTAGGTGGGAGAGGAACCCAAGAGTTAGGTCAGAGGGTTTGAAGTATCGCAGAGTCTTTGAATGGTTGAAAGCAAGAGCATGAGCTGATTTACAGTTTTGTAGTTCTTTGTCTTCTGAGAGAGGAAAAAGGGGAAGTGGGAGACCCGCAGGGGAGTGGTCTAGGCAAGTGGAGCACAGGATGGGGGTTTGGAAGGGTGGTGAGAGCTTTTGGAGTCAGAGGATGCTTTGAGAGGAAAACCAGCAGCTTTTGCTGTTCTGGACGTGGAGAACACACTTTTGGTCCGTGTCACAGGGTGAGTGTTGGTGACATTTACTGATCTGAGGAAGCCATCACAATTGCCAAAACATTTGAAAACTAAGCATCTAGGAGATTGATAATAATGTTTTAAATGAAAGCAGAAAGGTTTTTTGATTATCCAGTAAAAATGTATTTAAATTGTTTAGATTAATCTCATTCCTAATTATTCCTAATTAGCTTTGGTTCTGTGCTCTCTTGCTGCAACCATTCTCTTATGTATATCCTCGGCCAGCCTCCTTGCCCTTCCCACCCCAGTGCTCTGGAGAGACCCAAAACTGGTATTTGTGTGTGTGTGTGTGTGTGTGTGTGTATGTATTTTATTTATTATTTATTTTTTAAGTTAGTTTCAGAGGTAGAGTTCAGTGATTCATCAGTTGCATATAACACCCTTGCTCATTACATCATGTGCCCTCCTTAATGCCCATCACCCAGTTACCCCATTCCTCTACCCACCTCCCCTCCAGCAACCCTCAGTTTGTTCCCTAGAGTTCAGCATCTCTTATGGTTTGCCTCCCTTTCCATTTTCATCTTATTTTTCCTTCCCTTCCCCTATAAGCCTCTGTTTTGTTTCTTAAATTCCACATGTGAGTGAAATCATACGGTATTTGTCTTTCTCTGACTGACTTATTTCGCTTAGATTAATACCCTCTAGTTCCATCCATGTCGTTGTAAATGGCAAGATTTCATTCTTTTGGATGGTTGAGTAATATTCCATTGTGTGTGTGTGTGTGTATATATACACACACACATATGTATATACCACCATTCATCTGTCGGTGGACATCTGGGCTCCTTCCACAGTTTGTCTATTGTGGACATTGCTGCTATAAACATTGGGGTGCAGGTGCCCCTTTGAATCACCCAAACTGATTTTTCCAGCTATTCCAGCTTCGTGTACCTTACCTGAACTTATACCCTCTGTTAGCCAGTAATCCAATAGCTCTGCGTGTCTGGAGAAACATGTATTCCCTTGCTGATGGTCCTGCTTTAAATATGTGGTGACAAACCTCACGTGGGGCCTCAGCACGTCCAGCAACCCTGCTCCACTTGCCCAGACTGTTCTCTCTCCTGCTGTGTGAATCAGCAGCTCTGTGTCCTTTTTCTTCACGTTTTTAGCCTCCCATCCCTCTTTCCTCACTCATCTGATGATTTTATTTCCTTTTTTTTTTTTTTTTACTATGACATTAGAAGCTGTTGAAGGAGAATTTCTTCACCTGCACACCTGCATTACCCTGACTCTGCCCTACCTGTTTTGAGGAAAAACTGTCCCTGCTCCTCATGGGTGCAGGATTTGAGGACCTCATGTTGACATTTTTATCACATTTTCCCTTCTACTGGGCTGTTTCTTTGCCCCTTTTTCAGCTAAACTCCTTGAAATCGTTCTCTCTCCTTCTATATCCACTTGCTCAGCTCCCACTCTATCCTAAGCCACTCTTGCCAGGCCTCTGTAAGCCTCCCTGCTTCAGGGAGCCTGCTCTGCTTCGCCCTCACCAGCTCCTCACGCTCCCCTTAATCCGAGCTCTCAGCATTTGTCCCCCTCGGTCACGTCCTCCTGCTTTTGGCTTCTGAGGTCTGGCCCTTCCCTGGTTTTCCGCCAGCTCTGTCCCCATCCCTTCTGTTGGATCTTCTCATCTTCCTCTAAGTATCAGAGGCTCAGAGCTCGAACCTTACAAACTCTTCTCTGTTTACACTCCCGGAGCCAGGCTTTTAAAAAGTATATTATTAGTATTGTAATAAAATACACATAACCAAAATGACTATTTTAGCCATTTCTCAGTGTACAAATCAGTGGCATTTGGTACATTGACAGTGTTGTGTAACCCTCACCATCTTATCTCCAGAATTTGTCATCATCCCAGACAGAAACTAACTGGGTCAGTTTTGTTTTCATTTGTGTTTTTTTTGAAGAGAGATCTTTGGTGCTTCCTACCTGACTATTTTGGGCCAGCATTTTTGAACAGCGTAGTGTAGTGAGTGAGACTCAAGCATTAAAAAGAAGACGATCAGATAGCCTAGAATAGAAAGTAGCGTGGATTATACATAATATGGGTAAGTGCTGGTTCATGAAACTTGCGTTTCAGTTTGATATATTTGTGTATATATAGGCTGCCACGTGAAGTGGATTTCTCAGCGTGGGTTGTGGTCAAAAAGGTTTTGAATGCCATTTGTATGCTGATGATGCCAACATTACTTCCAGTGAGGACTGCCCCCTAAACTCCAGATTGGTAGATCCAGCTACCTTCTTGATGTTTCCACTTGGATGGTTTATGGGCATGAGTCTCTAGGTTTTTGCCCCCAAACCTGCTCCTTCCTAGGCTCTCCTGGGATTGGCATTTTTCACTTTGCCAGTTTGGGATCATTACCGGTTTCTTTGCAGGTTTTTCTTTGTTTTTACTTCTTTGTCCATTTTGTGATGATTTATTTAGTTAAAAAACAGATGATATCTGTAAAACTACTTAGGCATATGTAAACAAGCATTAGGTTGAAATATACCTAAAATGAATGAATGAATGAGGGAGTTGCTGTGGGCCCCTCTGCATGTGGGACGCTCCCACGCTGCCCTCAGAGTCCCTTGTGTAGCTTTCATTCAACAAGGGACCACATCACGTGGCCCAAGGAACGTGCCCAAGTCAATTCATGTATTAACTGTTAATAAAACTTCATTTTTTTCTTTGTGTTTCCTATAAGAAGTAGCATGAATAAACATACTGATATTTATTTCCATAACTGAGGGAATGGGTCTGTGGGCCCCTTGATGCAAGCCTGCCCACGTAGGAGACCCCCGTGTTAGAACATGGAATGCTGAGAACAGTATTCGGTTTTGATCTGTAAGCTAAATTGGCTTTGCTGGGGAGAAATGTCTCCTCTGAGATCAAGGATTGTTACCGTTTGTCCATTTATCTCATAAAAGCACAAGGGTAGAAAGTAGAGAAAAAACAACAAAAAAATGTATCAACATAAGGACATTAGTGCCGAAGTCTCAACCTCAGATTGCCTGGAGGAGAGAGAAGGTGGGCCAGTTGAGACGGAATACAATGTGGGGAGTGGGGGGATTGTGGTGAATAGGGAGGTGCATACTCTTTGCAGAAGGAGCTGTTACTATTTCAAAAAGCTCATTAATGCTTTACTGCAGCTCACCAGTACTTCTAGATGAACCCGGTAGCTGACAGGCTGTAGCTCACTATCTGAGCATGGGGAGTTAACCCAAGGCCAGAAGGCTGATACTGGAGGGGTCAGGAGCTAACCTGGCAGCTAGAGCAGAGGAGGGGGCTCCAGGTAGTGGAGGGTGAAGAAATAGCACGATTAGGAAACTATAGGGAGTTGCAAGCTGCTAGAATATGGGGATGAAGGGGTTGTGGTGTGACCTGATGCTTTTTGTGACATGCTAAGACATTTGGACTTCACACTATAGTAAATACAGGCACTGCAGAGCTAGCGAAGGATTTTAAGAGGTATACATGTGTACATATGCACGTGCGTGCCTGTGTGTGTGTGTGTGTGTGTGTGTGTGTGTACGTGATAGAAGCAAAGATGACATCAGATTGTTATTTTAGAATAATAATTTGGTGTTTCTTTGGACATGGAGCTACCTTGGCTGCAGGGAAGCCAGTTACTGTGTGTAGTAAATTGCATGAGAGGTGGTAAGGGTGTGAACTCAGATTTGGATGTGTAGAGGGGAGGGAACTGATCTGAGATTTTTAGGGAACTAATTCGATAAAACTTGGTGACTTCCAGGGTAGGTGGAGTCAAAACAGCTTCTGCGTTTCTCACTTGAGAATTTTGTGGAGAGTGACGCCATTCACAGCAACAAAGAAACGTTCTTCTCTTCCTGTTAGTCTTCATTTTGGCTAATAGGACCAGTAGCCCCGTGTCCGTTGGCCCCGTTGTCTGTCTAATCAGCAAGCCCAGTCATTTCTACCTCTTTAATAATCTCATCCTTGGTGTATCCATCCCCTTCTTCGTTTAGCCCTTTGTCATTTCTTCCAGCCATGGGTTTCAATTTCTGGTAGTGTGGGCAGAGTGACGTGTGTTTTCTAGAAGTCTTACACCACTGTCCTATTTAAAATTCTCCAGGAGAGCCTAGTAATCCTGATCTGGCCCCGGCGTTCCTTTCCAGGCCCATCTCTCGTCACTTCCCTTTCAACTACTCTGAGCTTTGGGTGCCTTTACCCTTTCTCACACCTTCACATATACTTTTCCCTTTTCTGGATTTTTCTTTTTCCTGGCAAATCCTTATTCTTCAGAATTCAACTCAAATGAATCACTTGTTCTATAAAACTTACCATTTGGTTTTCAGTTAGAGGTTAGCACATGTTCCTTTAATTCCATTGTGCCTTCCTTTACTCTGAAAAGTGGCATGGCGCTGTTACGTGATTTTCCTCAATTTATCTTTTGGCTCCTTTATTAATATTTGATTCTTAATAACCAAGACTGTACTTGCAAAACTCAGTGGTATTTCATTCAAGATTGCTAAGTTAAGTAAGGGGCGCCTGGGTGGCTCAGTTAGTTCTGTGTCCGACTCTTGATTTAGGCTCAGGTCATGATCTCAGGGTCATGGGATTGAGCCCCAAGTTGGGCTCTGCGCTCAGCCCAGAGTCTGTGTGAGATTCTCTCTCTCCTTCTGCCCTGCCCCACTATGTGCATGCATTCTCTCTCTCAAATAAATAAATCTTCAAGCTTGCTAAGTAAGAGTAAACAGTTGGTTTTCTTTATTCCCCCCAGTATCGATTTTATGGAGAACCTGTAGTAAAAGCATGTATCGAAAATGGAACCAGCTGTATTGACATCTGTGGAGAACCTCAGGTATGTAAAATGGAGAAGAAAGAATGGCATTAACAACACAACTTTCTGTTAGAGTGGAAAATATTTAGTGCCGCCTTGCAGACTATTTTAGAAGTTGGTGACTCCTCCCTTGTGCTGATGGCTTGAAGGAGAGTGCGATAGTCAGGTCTTTTCTTCTGTTTTCTTGAAGTTTTTTCTTCCTTACCACCTCATTTATTCCAGGTCTTTTGTATGTAGGATGTGCTGGTTTCTGTGGCTGCCGCATGCTGTGAAAGGGTTTAATTAAAATGGTGCGCTATGTGTAAATTCTTTGAATCTCACTTTTTCTTATGAATTCCGTTTTTGTAGTCAGACACCTTTATAACAATGCAGAAAAGGAAGTGTAAAATCCTCCAAACGTAAACATTTTAGATATTCACACTTGAGTGCTCACCCCACACCCGACACTCTGCTAATACAGCATTTTATGTCATTTGAATGTTCCACATTCCCATAAAGTCGGTATCGTCTTGCCTATTTTGTGGATGAGGAAACTGAAGCTGAGGGGGGTTAAGTCATGCAGCTCAGAGTCCTGCCACCACTCAGTAGAAGAACAGGACTCCAACTGAGGTTTGCCTGATTGCAGGAAGTGGATGTTAGTAAGCACCAAGCTACCCCAGCTCCTTGAAAACCGTCACCTCATCTGTCCCTGTGGTCTCTGCTGTTATCATCACCAATATGCCAATATAGTAATGTACTGGAAAATACTAGGAAAATGTGAATTACCAAAAGTGATTCAAGAAGAGGTAGGAAACCTGAATGAAACAGAAACCAATTCCGGCCTAATTAAAAAAAAAAAAAAAAAAAATCCCAGAGCAAAGAAAATGATGAAACATTTCTAAGGTATCCTATAAACTACAATAAAAGTGATATCAAAACCTAGTAAAGATCCAGACTATATAAAGGACTCTTAAAAGGCAATAATACAAATTCAAATCACCCAATTAAAAATGGGAAAAGGGATGAGTAGAGACAAATGTTCTGTGCAGAAGAATCCCAAAAAGCTTGTGTAACTACTCCACCCTCGAGGAGAGGAGCATGACTCATCACCCCTTCTTTGGGCACCACACATGGTCACTCCCTCCCCAAAAGAACAGTACGGATGGGAGGGAAGAAGAGAATAACTTTATGGTGGCGAAACCTGAAAAATACTACCTCAGCCGGGTGTTTAGGGCCACCATCCACACTGATAAGTCACGGTGATGGTATGTACCCTTGATAGAATGTCACGAAATGCACTTGACCCCTGCGGTCTCCCCTCCCTCCTCAAAGCAGTAATTCCACGCTAGTAAGGAGAAAAATTCCAGTAGAGGGGCACGCTACAAAATACCTGATCAAAGTTCTCAAAACTATCAGGGCCCTGAGAGTCCGAGGAGACTGTCACAGCTCCCAAGAGGAGCCTTGGGACACATGACAGCTAAATGTAATGTGGCATCCTGGTGGAGAAAAAGGACATTAGGTAAAGACTAGGGAAATCTGGATAAAGTATGGTCTTTAGCTAATGATAATGTTATCAATATTCATTAAGTGTAGCAGATGTTAATGGAAAAGCTCTAACAATAGGAGAAACTGGGTCGGGGTACATGGGAACTCTCCACTACTCAAATTTTCTGTGAATCTTTTCTGTGAATCTAAAACTGTTGTAAAAGTAATTTCTAAAAACAGAGGACTTGAACAGACATTATTCTCCTTTTCCATCCCCTCCTCTCCTACCACTTTCTTCATCCTAACTAAATATATGTGTGCCGATGCATGTCTCTAATAATGTCCCTCTGAGGAATACGATTTGGGTGATGTTTTCTTGCTGTCTTTGTATTTTTTTGTATATTAATTCAGGTTTTCATAATATTACTTCTGCATTTAAAACTCATTCTGAAAAAGTTACTAGTGTCATTAAGTCAGATCAGCCTGTGCCCCACACTGCTTGGCACGTGGTAGATATACAGTAAATATTTGCCAAATAAGTGAAAAACATTTCCACAGTTAATATTTCACTAAAAGCCACATTGGTTAGCATTTTCAAAATGTAATTCCTTTGTCTTTTAAGGTCTATCATTTAATGCTGATTTAAATATTTCTGTATAGCTCTGATTCAGATTTTTGTCCTGAATTTTTTAGTTTCTGGAATTAATGTATTGGAAGTATCATGAGAAAGCTGCAGAAAAAGGGTCTTATATCATTGGAAGCAGTGGTTTTGACTCCATTCCAGCAGATCTGGGCGTAATATATACCAGAAATAAGATGAACGGTAACTATCAATCACTAAGCAGTAATTGAATTTAACAATAGAAAATCTTCATGTTTATAACTGTGATGAACTAAAAACTAGTTGGGAAGAGAAACATAACTATAAATGGGTAATGTTAAACACATGATTTGTTCAGGGCATCTGGGTGGCTCAGTGGGTTAGGCATCCAAATTTTGATTTCGTCTGGGTTGTGATCTCAGGGTTGTGGGATCAAGCCCTGTGTCAGGCTCTGCGCTGGGTGTGGAGCCTGCTTAGGACTCTTTCTCCTCCTACCCCCACTCTCCCTCTCTAAAAAAAAAATTAAAATTAAAAAAATTTTAAAATAAAAAAACTCCACATGCTTTAGTGTTTAATACAGCTATACTTGTTATAAAATCCTATTGACACAATTTTTTGAGATGTGGTTAGTACTGTGTGTATTCCAAAGTGAGGAATTATCCATTGTCTCAACTTAGTTATGGTTAAAACAGTAAAATTTCTGGAAAAAGAATTTCTGACAGCCATTATAATTCAAACTTGCTTGGTTTAGGAACTAACACATTTAAGAATATAATTTTTGAAGCTATTAAAGGTTTAACTTTTTTTAAAGATTTTATTTATTTGAGAGAGAGCGAGCGAGAGAGAGAAAGAGAGCATGAACTAGGGGAGAGGCAAAAGGAGAGGGAGAGACAGACTCCCACTGAGCAGGGAGCCCAATATGGGGCTCGATCCCAGGACCCTGAGATCCCTGAGATCATGACCAGAGCCGAGGGCAGACACTTAACTGACTGAGTCTCCCAGGTGCCCTATTATGCTCTTGAAAGCTTTTTGATGTAAATAATACCAGTTTAGAACTAAAAACCCTTTATCTTAAAAAAAAAAAAAAAAGAAAAATCAATATTATGGTAAAATAATGGAAGTTCCTAATGCCATGCATGTTTTAAAAGGATCCATTTAGAAAATGACATGAAACAGGTAACTCCAGTGTCATATAAACTGTTCTAGAGCTTAAAAAGATGGCAAGTGTTTCAATTTATATTGAAAAGTTAACATAACTCAAGCCAAAGCCCCAGATAGATAGCACCAAAAAAGATAGCACCAAAAAAAAAGAAAACTACAAATCAGTCTTGCTTTGTGAAATTAGTAGTCAAAAAAATGCTAAATAAATTTTAATAAATCTTCAATGGCATTTTAAAAGAATAATATATCAAGACAAAGGCTTATTACAAAGTTATGTAATCACATCAGAATATCGAAGGTAAAAAGCTAGATGGCCATCGCAGTAAATGATTTGAAAATTCATGCCATTTACTGATTGCAGATTTTTAGGAATTTAAGAATAGAATACTTTATTAACATAATTAATGTCGGAAGGCAATAGCCAGTATCATACTCAGTGATGAAATGCTAGAACCATTCCAAATAAAAAGAACATGAACATCTTTTTTTTTTTAAAGGTTTATTTATTTACTTTAGAGAGAGAGCGCATGAGTGGTTGGGGAGGAGGGACAGAGGGGGAGGGAGAGAGAGTCCCAAGCAAACTCCATGCTAAGTGTGGAGTCCGACGTGGGGCTTGGTCCCAGGACCCTGAGATCATGACCTGAACTGAAATGAAACCAAGAGTGGGTTGCTTAACTGACTGAGCCATCCAGGTGCCTCCAATTGAACATCATGGACCTGGTAGGTCTCCATTTATCAAAAAAATACTTTTAAGTCTCTAAAGTCCAGACATTTTCTTCATGGTAGTTATACGTATTTTTTACTAAGGTTTTAAAATATTTAATAGTTTCTGTTATTTTGAATAGTTCTTTTTTTTTCTTTTAAGGGAGAAATAATACTTTAAACCTTGTTTAAAAACTTTGTTTTCAGATACTGAACCCTAAGAGGGAGCATTTCAACAAGTATCCCCACTGATTGTTTGGTGCAAGTGGTCCACATGTTAACTGCGTGTGGCCTTAGGCGGTCCACGTTCTTTCTGTGGCTAGGATAGATCATGGAGCCATAAACCCAGGCTGCCTTCTCTTAGCAAACCTCAGAATCATCCCAGGGCGTTATACTTCATGATCTAGGTGTTTGTCAGTGGTCACCTAGCGACATTTAGATGACTATGGTTCTCATCATTGTTGATGATGTGGTTGTTCATTCTCTTTCTCAGGGTCAGCTTTCTAAAGGCTCCATGATTTCATTTTCTCTTGGTATTAAAACTAGGAACACCAATCTTAAGAAATTGCTATATTTTGGGGCACCTGGGTGGCTCAGTCACTTAAGTGTCTGCTTCTAGCTCAGGTCATGATCTCGGGGTCCTGGGATCAAGCCCTGCATCATGCTCCCTGCTCAGTGGGCCATCTGCTTCTCCATCTCCCTCTCCCTCTGTGCTCTCTCTCTCTCAAATAAAAAAAAAAGAAATTGCTATATTTCATTTTATCAGATTTTGAGATTTAGTCTATTAGGTTTTTCTTTTGTCTTACTGCTCTTGAGAAACTCAGTGATTAATTAACCACTATGCCTGTGTTTTAGCCCTTGTAGTTATGTAGTTGATATCTCCCTCTTTTTCTGGCTTTGGTTTTCTATTATTATTTGTATTATTATATTTTTCTTTCTTTTTTTTTTTTTTAAGATTTTATTTATTTATTTGAAGAGCGAGACACAGCGAGAGAGGGAACACAAGCAGGGGGAGTGGCAGAGGGAGAAGCAGGCTTCCTGCCAAGCAGGGAGCCCGATGCGGGGCTCGATCCCAGGGCCCTGGGATCATGACCTGAGCCGAAGGCAGACGCTTAATGACTGAGCCACCCAGGCACCCCTTTTTATTTCATTTTAACAGCCTTATTTTAAGTATTTTATAAGCCATCACAGAGGCCATTTCGATAGGTTTTCTGCACATTCATTATAAATCACTACTATGAAGCCACCTTGAAAGCAGTCATACTGGAAAACAGAATTCATCCCACAGATATAATTTTGAGAACTGTGTGCTGATGGCCTTCCAGCGAATGAGTGAACTAAATTGTTGCCTTGTTGGAAGAGATCTTTGGTGGCAGTTTGAATACTAGAAAAGATTTTGCCAGTATTAGCACTTAGACTTTATTCTAAACTGCTCTTTCTGACAACTTACCTCGCTTCAGCTGCTTCGTAAGTCTGTTTTCAGTCACATAATGAACCTATTACCAGTACAGATTTTCTGACTGTATCTGCTGTAGTCTTGGTAAAAGTGGTCCCTAAATAAATAGGAATAATTTGGGGCACCTGGGTGGCTCAGTCAGTTAAGCATCTGCCTTCAGCTCAGGTCATGATCTTGGGGTCCTGGGATCGAGCCTTGCATCGGGCTCCCTGCTCAGCGGGGAGTCTGCGTCTCTCTCTGCCCCTCCCCCTGCTGATGCTCTCTCTCTAATAAATAAATAAAATCTTTAAAAAATAGGAATAATTTATTACTGCATGCCTTAGTCACATGGATTTTATCTGATTTGGCTTTCCTGTTCTGCTGCTCTCGTAGGCACTCTGACTGCTGTGGAAAGTTTCCTGACTCTACATTCCGGACCTGAGGTTAGTTTTTCTGTTTCTCTGGTGTTTTTTAAAATTAATAAAAACATTTTGGAAATGACACATGCCTCCTAAAAAGATTTAGATGAATTAAATTTCATATATATTTGTAATTTTTAGGGTGTGAGAGTCACTATGTTTGATTTTAAAAAGTAAAGATGGTAGCTTGCTGGGAATTAGACTCAAAATAGAATTTTGTTAAAAACAGCTGCACAGGTCACTGCATTAGAATGAGTTACCATGATCCCAGCACCAAAATCTCTCTCATTGTTGTGTAATAAACGCTGTCAGCCATTTCAGTCCTCACCTTAGTCCAAGTCTGTGCACTTGTGTTGTGCACCTCACTCACAGCCCAGTGCTGTCGTGGCCGTAAAGAGATGGATGATGTCATCACCGACTGTCCAGCCTGTTTGGGACATGAGACCTGAGGTGGCTGCGTTCCCAGAGGCCCATGTTTACGATAGGACTTTTATCATCAGTAGTGTTTGACCCAATTCTAGGTCTACACTTAAGGTTCTCTTTAAAATCCATTCATCCGGGCGTCTGGGTGGCTCAGTCGTTAAGCGTCTGCCTTCGGCTCAGGTCATGATCCCAGGGTCCTGGGATCGAGTCCCACATCGGGCTCCTGTTCGGCGGGAGGCCTGCTTCTCCCTCTCCCACTCGCCCTGCTTGTGTTCCTGCTCTCGCTGTCTCTCTCTCTGTCAAATAAATAAATAAAATCTTTAAAAAAAATAAAATAAAATAAATTCCATTCATCCAGCAAGTCTTCTGTGGTGGTGCAAATATATATAGGAGTGCAAGGTAGTGTGACACAGAAATGAAGAAGATGCAAACCTGTCCTGAAAGAGATAATAACGTAGCTTGGCAGGAGAGAGAGATGTTAAAGAGATCAGATAAAATACTGTATTTTTTGAGAATGGAGAGTAAATCCAGCTAGGAGGCCAGAGGTAAGAGCTGTCTGGAGAAGCTGGGCATGGACTGAGTTTTGGAGGTTGGTGCCATGGAGCTGGGCTAAGGGGGAGGGAGTAGCATTTTCAGGACATAGCTATGGGAGGTATGGAGCATGTGCAGGTAAGAGTAATGGTTCTAGTCGTCCAGATTGTGGGATCAGGTTAATAAACACAAAGAGCTATATAACACATGCTAAAATCCGTGGTTACAGAGAATGCCCACTGGAGAATCAGAATAAAGGGAAGTGACAGAGGGCCTGAGTAACTGGGGAAGGCCTCCTAGAGGCCTTGCAGATTTTAGCTGTGAGAAGGGAATAGCATTTGGAAGATCAGAGGCAGTCACCTGAACATAGGCTCAGAAGCAAGAATGAGATACGTACTTGAATCTGGGGAGCATGGGTAGAAACCCAGCTCCACCCAGTTTAAACCAGCAACACGAAAAGGAGCTGACTGATTCTGCAGGTGGATAGTGTGGAATTTACTGATGTCTGCATTCATTTCTGCTGGGTCCCTTTGTGTGCCTCTCAGCATGGCATGGAAGGTGCTGGCGGTCAGGGGTACATTGTCCTTAAAGTTCCTCATTTCCTGGGAACAGCTAGCAGAGTTGATTTATCACATGGTAGGAAAGATCAGTCAAGTATTGGGCCGTTCAGCTATTCTTGAGCCCATCAGTATGACCTGGTATAACGGTGCAGGCAGATTGCCTAGGCCTGGGTCACAGGCCTCTGGAGGGGGGACCACAGAGTCAGGCCCATCTCTCGAACATGGAACATGTTCCAGATAGGAAGGAGAGTTTTATAAGCAGAAGATGAGGTAGAGGGTTGCAGGGAATTGCTGCAGGACCGACAAAACCCAGATGTCACAACAGGGAGATTGTGAGAAAATTGGTAGAGGAGAAAAGAGGCTGCTTTTGAAAGAGCAGCAGGAGATGCAATTGGAAAGATGAGCTGATGTAGGGAAAGTGTCTGTCCTTTACTAGAGGGATAGAAGAGCCCCTGATGGTTCTTACTGAGTCGAGCCAGATTTTGAAGCAGGACTGCCTGGCCTCAAATTCTGGCTCTGCCACTTACCAGTGACATGAGCGTGGGCAAGTAGCACACTATCCTCATGGTGCCTTACTTCCTCCATCTGTAAAAGGAGATGGTAATAGTATCTACTTCATATGGTCACTGGGTCAATGAGTATAAATCAGAACAGAGGTGGGCAGTTAGCAGATTGCTCAGTGAGTGTTATTAAGTATTATTTTTGTTAACATTATTCAAACTTAAAGTTGGGGCTTAACTCAGGACAAGAGAGTTGAAGCATCCATACGAGTGCAGCTCCCTCTCTCATTCCCCTGAAAGCAAAATCCACAGTCTGAATTTGATGGGACAGATTCTGTGTATCCCTAGTCACTGAATTGTCCTGCCCCTCCTTATCTTTCTTTTCCCCTGGAGGTTTTTATTTTACACACAAAATTGTACCACAGACCACATGCTTGAATTTCAGAGGATTGAAATCATACACTGTAGAATAGTCCTGTCAGTCCGGCCGGCCTTCCCACAGTGATGGAAATGTCCTGTGTGTGCTGTGTGGGGGCTTATTACATCGTGGCTGTTGCGGCTCTAGAGCAGGTCAGCCTGTGGCCTTTTTTTTTTTTTTTTTTAAGATTTATTTATTAGAGAGCAAGCATGAGTGGGAGGGGCAGAGGGAGAGGGAAAGAGAATCTCAAGCAGACTCCGTGCTGAGCGTGGAGCCCAACACGGGGCTCGCTCTCACGACCCTGAGATCACGACCTGAGCAGAAACCAAGAGCTGGATGTTTAACCGATTGATCCACCCAGGTGCCCCGAGCCCATGGCCTTTTTTATATGTCCATGAGCTAAGGATGGTTTTACATTTTTAAAGGGCTATAGTAGAAACACAAAGATGAATATGTAGTAGAGACCATCTGTGCCTGTAAAACCTACAAGTTGGACCTTTCAGAGACCGTTTGCCAACCTGTCCTAGAGTGTGCTTTATTTTTTCTTTTTTAGAGACTTTTTATTTATTTTTTGACAGAGAGAGAGACAGCGAGAGAGAGAGCACAAGCAGGGGGAGTGGGAGAGGGAGAAGCAGGCCTCCCACCGAGCAGGGAGCCCGATGGGGGGCTTGATCCCTGGAGCCTGGGATCATGACCTGAGCCGAAGGCAGACGCTTAACGACTGAGCCACCCAGGCGCCCCTGGAGTGTGTTTTAGACTACAGTGCAATTATACTAGAAATCAATGAAGAGATAACATGAAAATCTCTGTATATTTGCATATGATGAAATGTATTTTAAATTTATGTCATTAACCCAGACCTTTTTTTCTAAACTCAGACTTAAAACATCCAATCACCTAGCTGACATCTCCACTTGAACACTCGATAGATCTCTCAGACTGTGTCTTGTCCATACTGACCTCTTGTTTCTCCTTTCCAAATGTGCTCCAGCCTCGGGTCATTTGTATCCATTTCAGTTGGTAGTAGCGTGTCCTTCCACACAGATCAAACAGTGTGGGCATTGCTATCTCTGTTCTCTGAAACCTAGATCCTGTCTGTCAGGAAATCCTGTTGATTCTGCCTTTACAATATGTGAGAATCTGATCACTCTTCACCATTTCTCTTTCTCCCACCTTATTCTTGCTACCACCTGTTCCTGTAGAGTCCATGCTCGACAGCCAGGATGATCCTTTTCAGACCTCACTCGGATCTTGTCCTTCCAGTCGTGTGCAAGAATATAAGTGACGTGGCCCCTGTCCCCTCTCCAGCCTCCTCTCCCACACGTCTGTGCATTCTCCCTCATTTACACTGACCTTTGTGCCCTCCTCGAACACGCCAGCACACTGCAGCCTGTCTGCTTTTGTGCTGGCTCTCTCCTTTTCCTGAAAACACTTCTCAGAGATGTTTGCATGACTGACACCCTCATCTCCCTCAAGTCTTTTCTCAAATGCCATTTTCCTGATGAAGTCCCATTTAAAACTGCAAACTTAATTCCTTTGCCCATCATTTTCAGTTCATCATATCTACTCTTTTTCTTTTTTCCTATAGTACTTTGCACTTTCTAAATCCTATGTATTGTATTTTTTATTGAGTTTGTCACCCGCTCTGGAATGTGAGCACCACAAAAAGAAGGATTTTTGTCTATTTAATTTACCAAGCACCCAGAATAGTGCTGGTCACATAGTAGGAGCTCAGTAAGTGTTTGTTGGCTGACTTGAGTGGACAAGGCTAACTTAACCTTAATTCTAAAACCCTACAAGAACAATTCCAGAAGGCAAAAGTCCAGTCCAGTTTCATGTTCTAGGAACATAGATGTAAAAAATCCTAAATAAAATATTAGCAAATTAAAAGCAGTAATACATAAGAATACACTTTTTTTTTTAAAGATTTTATTTATTTTTTTACAGACAGGGAACACAAGCAGGGGGAGTGGGAGAGGGAGAAGCAGGCCTCCCGTTGAGTAGGGAGCCCAATGCGGGGCTTGATCCCAGGACCCTGGGATCATGACCTGAGCCAAAGGCAGACGCTTAATGACTGAGCCACCCAGGTGTCCCAAGAAGAATACATTTTGACCAAGTTAGTTTTAGAGAGGAATGGAAGGGTTAATATTATGTAATCGCTATAATCCACCTCACTAACAGGTTAAAGGAGGACAGTCTTATGATCATCTTGATAAAGAGAGAAAAAGTGTGGTAAAATGTACTATCTACTCATTAAAACTTTTTTTTTAAAAAGATTTTATTTATTTATTTGAGAGAGAGAGAATGAGAGAGAGCGAGCACATGAGAGGGGGGAGGGTCAGAGGGAGAAGCAGACTCCCTGCAGAGCAGGGAGCCCCATGCGGGACTCGATCCCAGGACTCCGGGATCATGACCTGAGCCGAAGGCAGTCGCTTAACCAACTGAGCCACCCAGGCGCCCTCTACTCATTAAAACTTAACGGCAAGCCAGGAGTAGAAGGGAAGATTATCTTTTTTTAAAAAAGCTATAATAAAGATGATACCCAGTGTTTAACATTGAAAACTTATTGCTCTCAGTTCAGGAATAAGACCT